CATTTAGTTTGTGATCTGCAGGTTCCTCATGATGATGCTAAAGTGGCTGAATTGCATGCAGAGTTAGATGGCCAAAACAATAGTGTTGATGAAACCGATGGACACGATCAACGTTTTGAGCTGCAGACAGAAAATGCTACATCTTTGGCCATGGGAGTAATGGAGAAAAATAATAGCCCAGAGAATCCTGTGCAGAATTTTGAGGGTAATTTTCAGCTAAGTTTCGGTGGTTCTGGATCCAAGGATGATATGCAGCACAATCCTGATTTTGATATGACTAGTGACAGTGATGACTATCGTGACGAGAAAATGGATATTGCCTTGAAAAAGGATGCTCTCTTGAGCTCTCAGTGCACATATAGTCAAGATTCCTTTGCAACACAGGCAAAGTATTGTGTGAAGTGTAACAAAGAAGGGCAATTACTGGTTTGTAGCTCCGACACCTGCCAGTTAGCAGTTCATTCCAGCTGCTTGCCTTCTGCTGCCCATTTTGATGGAAAAGGAAAATTCTACTGCCCTTTTTGTGCATATTCTCGTGCAATCTCGGAGTACATGCAAGTTAAGAGGAAGGCCTCATTTGCAAGGAAAGACTTAGCTTCCTTTATTGGTGTGCAAACTGTATGTCAACAAAAGAAGGCCACCATGAAATTGGGGAGAGAAAGTCGAAATGAGTTGCGAAAGAATGAAGGTAATAACAGTGAAGACTTTGTGAACAAGGTTTCTGATTCTCACTGTGGAGTTAAAATGGGTAACAAGCATCAATCAGAGCCTCCATTGTCATGTTCTAGTGATCATTCTCATTCTGGAGAAAAGGTGGTGTCTCCAAGTGATAGAATGCCCAATACCTTGGTGAGCGGAAACTTGGAAAGGAAATACATGGAGCCACAGTGCCAATTGCTTGGTGTGCAAGTTGAGCAGCCAGTTGTTGCTCATCCTGTACATGGATCTGATGTTGATCGCAAAAAAGCTCACATGGCTGATAGGAATGAGGGGAATGCTGGAGCTGAAGGCAAGAAAGTTTCAGAAATTCCAGAGTCAGCTTTACCTCAGGAACCTGTCTGTGGACCAATTAGTGAAAGCTCTGAAGAAGACAATGAGAAATCTGTGAGAAGTTACTCCATAAGATTGCGAAGGCCCATCAAGAACTAGTAAGTATTCTTCTTTAATGCACGAGCTTGCTTAAGTTCGCTTTATTGCTGATAGACAACTCTCATCTTTCTTCTTATTTACAGCATCAAATAGTGCTCTCAGTCAGTGCTGAAGCATTATGAGTTTCACTTCCCCTTCCTCGTCCACCTTTTCTCTTGTTCTCCACTGTCTATTTTATTACCAGAAAGCTTCATATAGAATATGGATGTCCGTTGATTATTATTGACTTGTGTAAGAAATCTGTATATTTGACAGTACTTATCCAGCGATTCCTCAACTCAGGCGGAAAATTCTCCCATGGACAAAAGCAGAGGAAGAGAAGTTAAAGGTACAAACTACTTCCCGAGTAGTAAAGATGAAAGACATCATGCCAATCTCCTTTTCCCCTCTGGCGTCTACAACTGGGTCTTGTCAGTTCAAAATTGTTTGACATGTTTTAACTTACATGCCTCCTTTGCTTTATTTTCTAATCAAAATATACCTTCTAAGCTTTCCCATTTACTTATCAGAGGATCTTTTACAGCTTATCAAACCTAGTACGTATTTCATCTGGAATTCTCAAAACGATATGAAAAATAGGATGGAACGTGAGACATTCAGAATTAGAGTAGTAAAAGATTGGCGCTTCCTCATTTTTGGGATTATTGGAAAGCTGTCATCTTCAAGGTTGGATTTGAAAAGTTGGATGAAAGGAAAAATCCTATAAGTAGGTCTTTTCCTTGACAGGGTCAGACTATGTGGAGATGTTTAAAATAACATCCTCTAAAATTTAAGCTTTTGGATAAATAAGAAAATGTTGAAAATCACCTGTGCATTTCTTTTTCCAGCTTTGCTGAATGGACCTTTGGGCTGGCTACTTATCCAATTTGTTTGTTTGGATGGGATTTTACAATGGAAAATTCTCAAATTATAACATGATTTACAGCGACCATGAATCTACCTGCTACATGATTGAATGCTCTTTTCATACTTTTCCTTTTGATCAGTACTTTCTGTCTTTAGTTTCTTGTAAGTCCTGAATCTGAATCTTTGATTATCTTGCTAAAGACACATGAGCTGTGTTGTGAGCAATCCCCGGGGAACTTGTTATCGCAAACCATGATGTTTTGTTTTTTAATTACCATACTGCTGTATTAGATATTTAAAGTTGAGCCTGAAGACCTGTACTTAACGTGCTATAGCATCTTAACTTAAAAATGGAATTAAATAATCTTTATCCAAGCCACAATGAAAAGTACATTTATTTTTAAGATTTCAAAGGCAGAAATTTTTTTTCTAAGGCTGAAATCATTAATGACATTGGAAAGGTTAAAATTATGAACATGGATCTCTACTGTTACAAAGTAGATTAAGAAGATTTGGCCCATGCTTAAAAATTTTTTCCTTCTACAAACTCTTAGAATATTGCCACGAGCAAATACATCTTGTGGCAATATTCTAAGAGTCAGTGGAAGACCTTTTAACCTTCTATTTAATGTAAGAATGGAATAAAATAGTTCTTGTCCAAGCCAGGATGAAAAGTATGTTGATTTTTGAGATTTGAAAGGCGGAAATCATTAATTATATTGGAAAATGTTAAAATTATCAGCATGGACTGCTGCTGTTATAAAGTTAATTAAGCAGATTTGGCCATGCTTAATCTTGAACTTCCTTCACTGAATCTGACAATATTGCCACTAGATGTATTTGTTATAAATGTTGCTTTTACTGCTGCAGGAGGGGGTGCAGAGGCTTTCTAGTCCGCACGATCGAAGTATTCCATGGAAGCAGATTTTGGAATTTGGAGGTGATGTTTTCCAGAGAGGTCGCACCACAATCGACCTCAAGGATAAGTGGAGAAATATTTGTAAGGGAGGTCCAAGATGAAAATGATGCATCTTGTTATTCTCGGTAAATTTTTGTGGATACAATCTTTTGAGACTCTGGCTGTGTATGTTCATAGTATCTTGTATCTTGGACCTCTAAACTTTGTTGTTTCCTTTTTTGTATATTTATGGTTCTTGGTCTCATTTTCACTCATCTGAAACGTACTAAGGAAAGTGCATCTGCTACACCTGTTGGTTTTAACAAGTTTTCTATTCCTTGGCCTCTCTTGCGGATCAATAGGATAACACGCCTTCCATCCTGCTTGCTTGGATGATGGAATGTTTATCAGATAGAATTGAATAACAAAAATGCCCATGTTTATGGATTTAAAGAACCTGTGCAGCTTGGGTATACGATGCCCAGGGGTGTAAACAAATTGTAGCTGCTCGGGCTAAACTCCACTTGAGCTGGACATTCACCCAAGTTTGACCTGAACTTGAGCAAACTGGATTATCTGACATGCTTGAGCTCGGGCTTACATGCGGGTGATGTTCGCAAGTTTGTTGAGGTTAATCACGGATTATATAAACATATTTCTTTTTTATTTTACCTGTTCTTCGTTTGTGTTTGTTTGGTTATATCATATTTCTCTTGAATTGTCAGGGTATATCTCTTCTTTCTGGCTATTAACGGTGATCGACTATCAAGATGTGTGTCAGAACTCAGACTCTTGCTGTTTTCTGTTCCCTTGAGACTCGTATTTTCTTAGGGATCCTTGGCTTGATAACATCGAAACAAGGAATCATGCCCGTGCCCTATTTTATAACCATCACATGCAGAAGCTTAAATATTTTTGTCATTGATGAATTCAATTGTGCCCTATATTTTTCTTTGAACGTGCTAGGTTTAGTCTTGGGCTCCAATTTGCCATGCATAGTATGCATGTGGATATGCATATTCCGCAGGAATGATAAAGGCGACGGGGAAGCCTCGGGTTTCAAGTTGTGAATGTCAGGAAAACATGTGATAATTGGGATCTCTCGTGATTGCCAAAAATATTTAGAGGTGGCTGTCTTCTGACTCTTCTTAATAGCTTTCTTCCAAGTTATTCAATTTCTTTCAATAACACCCCCCTCTTCGTCTCATGGCACTTCTATGAAGACCCGCTTATTTTATGCTATTTTTTAAAATTTATTTTCTATCATTTTCTCTCTTTTAAAAAAGAAAAAAAAGAAGAAAAAACCTTAGTGTATTAGTAGCCCATTTGAGTGCTTCTTCAGGAATGTAAGTTGGTTGTGATGTGCGAAATAATATGTGGCTTGCATTTACCATAGCATTAAACTCAAACCAAAGGGCAAGTGAGGTGATTCTTCCGGTTCAACCGGTCTGATCAATCCCGATCGAATGAGCTCCAAAGTCCAAAACCCCTAAAATATGAAAAAGAAACGAAACAAATAGCCAGTGTAAAAATTCAAGCGGAAGGGCAATACAAAAGTTTTTATCAGCTACATGGACGCTGGATTAAATCGTCCTAGTTCTCTGGCATGGGAGCATTGAAGTCCATACAAATTTTGTCACAAAGGTTTCAAACCAGGTCTTGAATTTGGTCTTAAAAGAAGTAAAAACAGAGAAAATGCCCTCCTTGTGTGTGTGTGTGTTTTTTTTAACACCCTCTGGCCACGGTCTAAAGGGCTTAAGCCCTCTTCACAGAGGGATTACGGGCATAATAAAGTTGGCTCTTAAGTCATCTCAAACCTCGTATTACATGCATAAATGCTTTATTGAGTTGTAACCAAAGCGTCTATTAAAAATTTTTTGGCAGAATCAGGTTTGATTATTGTTACCTTATGAATCATCTGTAGAAATTTCGTTGTATATATATAATTGTTTTTCCTTTCTTTTCATCTTGAACCACAATGACCAAATGTTTAATTCTTCTAAGTTATTCGACGGTTGCCAGTATGATACTGTAGGAAAATGACAAAAATCTGGTAAAGATTATTCTTGTGAAAAACCTTGGATTCTTTCACTTGAAGCAGTTCATAGTCATACGCACTATTTTTGGCCATAATGACATGCACGAGCCCTCAACAGGACTTTCACATGCAGCATTCTTCACACTTATCATGCATGCAGTACGTGCACCAAGTCTGTAGGACTGATGGATGCAGTGTTTGAATTTTCAGAAATCAAGAATTCAAACAAAACTATGAAACAGTTTCCACCAAAACTGATGGAGAATATACAACCAGAGAATGAGGGATATATCATATATGTGATTGTACGCTGTTCAGTGTATGAAGAGTGTTCACTACTCACAACGTAGCCCCAACGGTCACATGAGCTTCAAAACTTTCTCCAAACGTGATACCATTTAAACCGAACTGCACTGAGACACACTATACATATCCCGCGCCTAGCACTCTCATCATCCATTCTCACTTCAACACTAAGCAAAACCACTCACACTTAGCTTCCCTAGTTGCTTCAAAATCTATAGCATGGATGGTTACCGAAAGACTCCGTTAAAGCCATGGAAGAAAGGCCCTGCAAGAGGAAAAGGAGGGCCTCAGAATGCTATGTGCGAGTATCGAGGAGTTCGACAAAGGACTTGGGGGAAATGGGTGGCGGAAATCAGGGAGCCAAAGAAAAGAACAAGACTGTGGCTGGGGTCTTTTGCCACGGCGGAAGAGGCTGCCATGGCATATGATGAAGCTGCGAGAAGGTTATACGGGCCAGATGCTTACGTCAATCTTCCCCACCTGAGATCAAACTTCAACCCTTTGAACAAATCACAGAAGTTCAAATGGTTCCCTTCGAATAGCCTCGTCTCGATGTTTCCTAGTACCGGTTTGCTAAATCTGAATGCCCAACCTAGTGTACATGTTATTCACCAAAGACTCCAAGAACTCAAGGAAACAGGATTATTATGTCAAACATCTTCAGCAAGCACATCATCTAGCAATCCCAAGAGCGACGTAGAATATGTGGATGATCATCCCCATGTTGAAAGTCTTGAAGGAAAAAATAATGACGAAGTGGAGCACCCTTGGGAAAACAAGTCACTAAACCAAGAAGAAAAGCCTCAGATTGATCTAAATGAATTCCTTCAGCAACTAGGAATACTTAAAAAAGAGGACCAGCCTGATGTAAGTGAAGTACCCTCAAACTTCATTGATAAAGATTTCTCACCAAAAGACGATGACGTATTCACCAACCTTCCTGAAAATATTTTCAACTGGGAAACGCCAAGTGAACTACCTGGAATTGAAGACAATCAGCTAGTGGAAAATAGTAGGTTTCATGTCGACAATGATAATGATGACGATCCCAGTTTTCCTCCATCCATTTGGAACTTCTGAAGTAGCCAGCAGAGGACATATTAGCTCCCAATAGTAAAGACCATCCAAGAATACACTTATACCTATATGTTTATAGCTCCGCAGCAGATCTCCTGAGAAAAGGAAGGTTTGGGACCCCGGGGGAGGGAGGGGGGGGGTGAAGGCACTTGAGAGAGAGAGATCATGTACTTTTTCGCCAAATACTAGATAAGTGTAATCACAGGAGTAGAAGAGGAGCAAGATATTAGGTGCTAACTAGTGGCAGGCAAGCACGCGATCATATTCCTTGCTATTCAGTAATAGGTTATTAACACTCGAACCCATATCTGTCACATTTTTGTACTCAAAAGAACTTTTCACATTAAATACCCATTTATGCTTCATCTTTGCAGTTGACCATTGGTGGTCCATAAAACCTAGGAAAGCCAAGTAACATAGTCTACAACTGATCCGAGAAATTGAAATCAAAGAATCAAAGAATATCCATAAAGCGTCCAAGCAGCAGCAGATAAGTGTCAAGTTAAATGCGCACGAAAATAAAACAATAATACATGCATCGGTGCCCAACATTTATGATTCAGTAAAAGGAAGAAATATAAACATCAGCCAAAACATACCTATGGGATACTTGACTTTCTCACAAAATTATGCAAGTTTTCAAGTAACCCTAAAGGACATGAAAGTTACACTCCAAAGGTTTAACCACATTCATAATTCATTACCACAGACTCGCACAATATTTATCATTAAAATAGCTTGATTGAATTCTCGAGGATCTGATGCCGTTGAACTATCACTCTGTGATGGTGATAGTCTCATGCTCTAATACTAGGAAGACAAGAATCATAACTGATCAACATACACAAAGAGAAGGCGTACAACCAGCCAATATGACAAAAGAAGAGATTCATCATAAATTCCTTTAATAAAGTTACTTTTGCTTTCTGCTGATTGTTAAATTAATCTCAAGTCATAGCTGATCTGCAGCAAGCCACCATGTGATTTTCTTACAAAGTATTATGGCATTAATGCCGCCTATAAATATGGAACTATATTTCTCACATCAACCAAGGGAAATTCTCATGGAACTTTTTCACTTATTCATTTCCGTACTCTGAAGCACTTAAATATTCACCATGTTCTTCAAAGTATTCAATCATCCGCTTCAAAAATTTGTCACTACTTACTGTTTCAGTGTCACAGACGAGACAACATTGTCTCCTTGCCCGTGTCACCGCAACATTCATTCTTCGCCGGTCACTTAGAAATCCCACCTAAAAAAAGTTCTCTACATTATAATCTTTTTGCAAATTGAAATACTGGCCGCTCAAATGGCAAGGGCAAACAAGATGATGAAGATAACAAGACTACCTCTTTCTTTGAGTTTGACCGAACCATTGAAATGATGATGGCTTCTTTTTCTCGACCCTGGAAGCCATCAACAGTAGAGATCTCCATATCTTTTAGTTTGTCGTGATTGCATTTCAACATCTTCAAGAAGACAACCTGTGAAAAGAAGCAAGACCATTAGGACCATATACAATGGAATCATATCAGCCTTAAGTCATCAGGAACTGTATCTTATGGAACATAAGTAATACCTGTGCTGCATAAGGTGTAATAATACCAATATCTGAAGCTTGAACCCCACTCTGAACAAGTCTTCTTGCATGGGCTATGGAAATCTCAGCTTCACCCTCATTTAATGTGCTATCTTCCTCATCCTTCTTTTCTTCCATGTCACAACTGTATCACAGTGCATTAAAATTTCTAAACATTAAAAACCAGCAATATAACTAATTCCAGAGCTATGGAACTGGAAGCGAAAGCTTTGCATGAGAAAAATATTAGCAACTCTGTCAAAACTTCTTAGAACTTGCTTGTCCCTGTATGGTAGTGGAGTGAACTTTGTTGTTCTTCCTTGATCACTTTTCGGAGCCCAACATTAATTTGTATAACACTTAAAAGTAAATAAAACTTTGTGAAAAGGGTGCACCAGGATGCTTAATCCTTAAGCAGGATACAATTTGGGGCTTTTAGTTATGAAGGGCATTTGTACTGGCTTGTGTACAAAATGTACATTTTTCTTTGGGTAAAATGAAGAGACAAATGATACTCCTACACTTTTCAGCTTCTACATCTATGAAGAAACTAAAACTCAATAAAAGTCGTTTTTGGACCATCTTCTTAGCAATTATTACAAAAATTCCATGAAACATGCAACCTAACAGATAGCACCAATAGCACCATACCCAGCTATGTCTATGATAAGAAGGGTTGACTCGGTTGTAGGTGTCTTATTCACACTATCAAGATCATATAGCATATGTGCAGCAACGCTTGGGTGGGCTTTAATCTGTAATAAAGAAGAAAACAACATCAGCATAATGGATCACTTTTTGTCAACTTTTCCATAAGCAAGCATCGCCTTATAGGAAAACAATTGCATTACTAATGCACCAGATATAATTTCAGCACCTTACTGTCATAAAGCTCTTGAGATGACCAGTTCATAATAAGTTCATGCATGCGGTACTGGACAGTGAGCATGGACATGACTTCATTTCCATATAATCCAGCAAGTCGTTCAAAAAGTGTTCTCCCTAGTCCTTTCTTCTCGGCATCGACACTTTGAATGGTTGGAGGAAGCTGGAGATGATCACCTGCAAGAATACACCTTGACCCCTGCAATATCAAAAATTGTTCTCAGAGCTGCCTGCCACAAGTAGTCCATCATATTGAATCCCTATTTTTTCATGATGTAAAACAATTATTTCGTACATAATGTAATATAGAAAAGCAAATTAACCAAAACACACCAACCACCAAAGCCACAATACCCACCAAAGAAAAAGAAAAAGATGGGGCACACAGAGAAGAAAAGCAAAACAGTTGATAGCTGCAACATGTCTCTATAATATATGAAAAAAGCACATCACAAAGAAATATCACCTTTGCATGGCTGGATCTGAGCCAATTGAGCAAAACTTAGTACATCTAAAACCACTGCACTCTAGTCTGTGACCTCAAAAGCCAAAAAAATCATAACATTGATGCAAGCAGGACTACAAAAAGTAAGGCTTTGACAACAGACTCACTTCAACTCAAAGACTTCCTAAAGCTTCTGAGCTGCCTCCATCAAAAGATCCCCCATTGACCCAGTTTCAAGTATGTGAAAAGAACATAGCTGAAATGCACTTCCCACATTCCCTAATTACATTCCCTAATTATAGCTTTAACTACATGCTGGCCTTTGGATCTCTCTTTCCGCATAGTAACATCAGGGACATTTTCTTCCCACATGCAAAGGTTATTCCTTTTAGAAAAACAAAGTCATCACCTACCAGTGCAGCATCTCAGTCCAGCTTATTTTAATTGTCAAATGTAATTATTTTCTTCTTGCATCTGACATAAATTGCACATGTTGGTTACTTTCAAGAATAATCAGAATCCCTTCTGAGAACAAGTCAAATCAAGACATCATTATTTCCCTCTAAATCTTCTTGGGTCAATTACAGGCATTCACCACCACTATGATCTGCTTATATTCTAACTTTCTATATCAACCATCCTAAACTCAAGACCTCATGAAGAACTGTAAATAAATCTCCATATACAGATGCAAGGAAATTTAGGATTTTTTTTCATTTTTCAAAATTCATATAACGTATAGCTATACTTGCTTCAGTCTTGTCCTTAGATAATCCTTCTGAGTGCTTATAACAGCAAAAGCAATGAACCTTAATAAAGTAAATCGAACAATACTACTAATTAGGACTTCATCAGTAAAAACAACAGAGACATGGAAAAAAAATACAGACATGAAAAGACAGCTTCCTGTCTAAGTTTACCACAACAAATATGCAGTTTAAATACATAAGCTTGTGGACATGCAATTCGCGTTTTGTGTCCATTTTCTAAAATTACCTTCAGCAAAGCAATCCAACACGCTATTTCAAGTGCCTGAGCAGCTTCATCAATGATAACCAAATCAAATGAAGTACCATCCAATTTTTTAGACAATGAGCCAGTCAAGGTCGTCAACACCACATCAGCATTTTTAATTACATCTGTCACAGCAAGCTGCTGCCTTTTGCGTTCTTCTTTCGAAAGAGCCTTGAGCTCCCTCTTAATATCCCTTTTTGTGTTTCTATCCTTGGCTTTTAACAGTTTCCCATTCAGGGCCTATAGAATTCCATATTCGAGAAAGAATTAAAAAGTAGATAAATGAAGGAAGAAGAGGAAAACAATGAACAGAAAATCCAAAATGTAAAAATCATATGCATAATCAAATTACAAATGACTATATCAAGAATACATCTTTTCATGATAAAACTTGACGAAGAACAAAAAGATATCTTCGTACCAAAAGGTTTCAAATTCACTTGAATTTGCAAAGATGCCTTAGTATTGTAAATAGATACAGCGAGGAACAAACTGTCGCACAACCATCAACATCACAAAAACACTAAAAGGAAAAATTCAATGACTGAGAACCCATCAGAGCTGCAAGTGTACAGCTGGAATATAAAAATTTGTAAATTTGCAATCTGATTGATTTTTTCCCAATAAGAACAACTTTATAAGAAATGCGAAATTCATATTAAACTCAATCAGCAATTTCGCTTTACTGACCCTCCAAGCAAACAGCATCGCTGTAGCTATTGAGGCATATGAATTCAGCTTACAAGGGGTGGTATGGGATCTGGAGTCTGGGAACACTTAAACCATTTGATCAAGTTTGGTACCATTAAGTTCAGTTTTGCTACAACACCAGCAGCTCCAGATTAGTTGTCCTCCATTTCCAAATGTGATTTCTATGCCATGTATGGCCATGCCTAAGGGGCTAGTGCAGCTTTACTTTGCTTTCTACAGCTAGATTCCCAATGTTCAACCAAAAATCACACTCCAAGATACTGGATGAGCCCAATTTCAAGCATAGAAAAGATCAACCTCTTAGCAACTTTGAAATGGTTCCCATCAATGCAATCTCTTTTATCAGGGGTGGAATAAGTTAACTGGCAACTATCATAATTAGAACATCTTACCTTCATCTCCTTGCGGATGTCATTTGCAAGAGCACTATTATCCCCACGAAGAACCTGCATGTAAACATTGAATCAGAACTAGGAGTAGGACCATCCTACACTATATATTGCAAACCAATGAGAATTAGTATTGGTAAGCCTCAATAGAAGGAAAATGTCAACATCAATCCTAGAGTGATTATAATTACAAACCGCAAGCAAAAGTAAACAAAGAAAACCTCCGCAAATTCTTGTTGAAAGATTAGTGTATAAATCAGTCATATTGCAGAAAGAGTGACTGATTAATGATAATTTTGACCCACCAACTGAGAGTACATCAAAAAAAAAAAAAAATCCTTCCTCTCTATTATCTACATAAGATGAAGTGGTAATGAACATGGTACTATAGCTGGTGAAAGATCCAACAAGTATCAATGCCCTAAAGCCACAACCATGGCTCCACATGCTTGGCCATTGAAAGAACATTTAGCAATAAGAACATGCTTGGCCCATTGGAAAGAAAATTTAGCACTAAGAACATGCTTGGCCCATTA